GCTGCAGGATGGAAATTTTCTCTCTGGTTAATATTTTGAAAAACTTATATTTTGAAAACTTAAGAATGGAAAGACACTATAGAAGTCTTCATATATTTTAATACAAATGAAATTCTGGGGGGTCAGAAAGCAGGTGTTATACATTATTGTACATTAACTGTTTCTTTAACGCCAACTAATGTACAGTCCTTGGACTGGTTAGTGATGATTAGTAGAAAAGTGGCTGGTTATCTCTTTGCTGGCTTTCCTTATGTTAAACTGCTGTATAATTAGGCACTAAAAATACTGTTTTCACTTTTTCTTGTAACTCATTGCAGTAGTTGCCACAGTGATATGTAACTGAAACTGGGAGAGGAAGTGGTCATGAGTAGGAAGAGGGAGACTGTGAAACCCCAAATATGACAAGAGTAGATCTCTTATATTGGAGGAAATATTTTATGCATTTATATTAAAAAAATAAACAAACAAACAAAAACCCCAAAACATAGGACTAAGTGTTTATGTTTATGGTCTTTCTCTGAATGCTCTGACCACTACATTAAGAGCACCACCCTCGGTATGTGGTGGATTATCCATCAAGTACCTCTGTGTGAGGAGAGGGTTAGTGCAGAAAAGCTGATAAATGACAAATTCTCACCAAAGATATTTTAATTTAAAATTAAATTTAATGTACATGATTGGAGTCTATCTTACTGTTTCAAGACAGAACAGTTTCCTTCCCTCATCCTTCTGTTTCTTCTACAAATGCAGGATATTTTTAATGCTGTAATTTATTCTCTTCCTAACTTACAGTTCAGGATCAGGACTGCAAATGCCGTTTGAAAACTTCAGTTGAAAAGGGAGCTTTCCCCATATGAAAGATAAGCAGAGGGATTGTAGGATACCTCAATATCATGTTTGTAGTACATATCACAGTGTTTTAGAGTAAGATACAAGTGGAGCTGGGGGAGGGAGGCAGTACTGGCTTTCCCAGTTGCTGTTGCACAAATACAATAGTTTTCAAAAATGTTTTGACATCTATGTAGTCTTGGAACGTAGCCCAAAAAACAGAAAATCAACAGGGAGTATGCCTGGTCGGCATGCCAAGAAATCAAAAGGCAGCAGTAGTCAGACAGCTTGAGAAAATGGCTGGACTGGAATGATAGTTCATGCATCAGTACTGTTGGCTTTTATCAACTTGAAACCTAATGCTTCCGTTACAGGATCAGTTATGCAAAAAGAGCTACTGAAATTCATGCAAACACAGTTACCTTTTAAAGAATTTTTGAAAGATCTAAAATGTACAAGGGTTTTTTGACTGCTAAATTTGTTTCAGTTTGTATTGTTATAGAGATAGTGCTTAGAGAAATGTGTTAATCTTATTTATCGATCTTGTCTCTTTTTTTTTTTTTTTTAATAACTGATAAATTGTGGGGCAGAGAGGGGAACATGTTTTGGGCCATGCTGTTCAGCCCTCAACACATTGACACGGGCTAGAGTTGCTCAGTCTGTGTACAGTGTAAGAACAGTTTTCCTCTGTGTTTAGCTTAACTGTGTTAATCATTTTGATATTTTGAGAGAGAAATATTTAGCACTGAATACGATCCTTTTCAGAAGATCACTTGAAAATTTGTCTAACAAATTCTCCCTTCTATAAGGAACTAAAGCAGCAATAGTACTTTTGATCCCTTCTGCTTGCTCTTTGTGGTAACCATAGCTGAGGTTTTTATTTTTGACCTATCTAAAGTTAATTATATGATAGGGGAGATGGTAACTCTGGTTGTACCTTCCACATGTGCATTGAATTACCTTCTTTGGGCAGTCTCGCACAGTAGTCTTGCTTTTGACAGTCTCAACAGAGAGATTAGAAATACCTAAGCATTGAGATTGGTCTATTATTTCCGAAGAGAAAATACTATAGCTTAAAGTAGTACAAAGTTTAATGCATGTTTTAAATCTCCAAATTTTTTTCTCTCAGTACTTAGTATGCTTGACTTGCAGTGGACACTTGCTATGAGAAGATAAAACGACAGAATGATGTTCTTCTGTGATATTCTTACCCTGGGTAAAAGCTCTAGGGTAGACAGTTATCTTGAAGAAAAAAAAGAAAGCCTTTGCTTGTTTGTTGTGTTTATTCTGGGAGCTGATCTAAGTCCTTTTGTAAACTTTGCTTCTGCTTGGGAAATTTGTCGGTGTGGTGCAGCAGTTAGTCCTGTCTTGTGCAAATCGGACCCTGGATTACAAACTATAAAGTCTTCCGGCAGCTTTCCCTTACATGCCTAAAATAGATACATTTTCTTTATTCTTCAAGAAATTCCTTTAAATTATATTATGTCTTTGTATTAAACAATTGAGTGTTCAGCAACCTCCTTTGAGACCTCTAAGAATTTTAAAATCTTACCTTTAGTTCTAGCTCAGGTAGAAGCAGGAGGATCCTTGTTCGGGACTGACACTTATGTATTTAATGTGTTCAAATTCATTGCAGCCGCATGCATCTTTGTGAATGAGACTTTCTTTCCCAGTAAGGTGATAAGTGAGTGATGATGATCAAGGGCGGTAACTTTAAAATCAGTAACTGATCTGTGCTGCTCACAGGGTTCTACAGCAGCAGATGAATCTTATTTCCCCCAAATGCTTCTCTTGTATGTGTCAGCATTTGAATAGTTGCAGGCAATAAGAGTCTACCTCGGAGCCTATGACCAAGCAGAAAGATGATGAAAGAACTGTGCTGTAGGTAGTGATTTTTTGTGGTAGATGAAACGTCCTTGCTGTATCATTAAGACCATAGTGTAGATGCTTTGTAGATATGTGCCATGTGAAGGGCCTCTGAGCTTTGCTGTAGTTAGATAAATTAAGGCATGATTTGATGGATGATATATTGCCACTACCTAAGTCTGATATTTAACTGAAATATGAACAGCCGGTGTTTGTTCTTTTTTTGGAGGGGAGAGAAGAGTAGGTTTTTACAACGTGCCAAATTAGTTTCTGCAGTCTGAAGTACCTTGTGTTTATTAGTATTTTGAAAGTAGGAGAATATCTTCTGCTAACATCTCTTCAAAGCTTATTCTACTATTTTATTATCACAATTATCTGTGAATAGAATGGTTCCATCTGTGAAAAAGCAACTGTACTTGAAGCTGTAATTAAAGATGTTTGTTTAGTCTTGCCACATCTGATGGGCATGAAGCCAAGGCACCTTTCTTCATGCTGAGTTATGATTCTCTGGTCTTTCCAGATAGGTATATTTGACTTTGCTTTTTTGTGGCTTAGTTCAGTGGGTTTTGCTCTTTCTGAGAGGGATGTGAAAGTAATTGATTACGTTTTATAATTAATTGTAATTCTGTTGTTGTGTATGACGTTTAATACGGTCATGTAACTCTGAGCACACCTTCTGTCGTTCAGTAAAAGACTTTTGAAATAGTCCTGAGTCTGTTTGCAGGCTTTCTGAGCTTCCTTTGAACTAAGCTAGAGTTTTTCAGAGCTGCCTATTTGGTTATTCATTGAGAAACAAAAGCCGCTGAAGAAGGGAAAGGTACTATACACTACATTTAGGAGGAGACCTGTGCTTGCTCTGCCTATGTTCTGTGGTGACCAAAAGGTCTGTAGCTGCAGTTAGCATCGCACTGAACAGAACTGCTATGCCTTACCTCCTATGGAGCTTAGAAAAAATGACTGTGGATAGATTGCTTTTGGTGAACTCACAGTAAACTCACTTGTATCTTTCTTTGAAAACTACCATACAAGTTTCTCAAGTGTTCTCAAAAATCATTTTATCTGAGGTTTACTTATAACTTTACATTTTATTTATGTATTTGACTATTTTTCTTCTGTCACTTAGCTGAGAAGGTGCTTTATTTTTCTGCTTTCTTCTTTTAATATTAGGAATACTGATACGTATGTGTTCAGAACATTGTTATTTTTAAAGGCTCATCATAGCACTCTACAAATCAGACATCTCTTCTGAATTTGCTGCTACCTATTTTAGTATTAGAAGTTTTGCTATAAGTAGTAATCTACTGGAAAGAAAACTAACACTTCTGTTCATTTATATTACCTTTTCTGTAATTCCATTTTTATCTTCTGCTCAGGAAAATCCTTACCTCTCTTCAGCTACCTCCCCATCCCAAAACAAACAAACAAAAAACCAGAATCACAGAAGAGTTGAGGCTGGAAGGGTCCTCTGGAGATTGTTTGATCCCTCTGCTCAAGCACGGTCAGCTAGAGAGAGAAAAAAACAAAACCAAAAAAACCCCAAACTAGCAGTCCCTCCTCCCCCTCAAAAAACAAATAAAAAAATGAAAAACCAGAATACAGGTGGTTGGAGCCCTGGGACATATTATTTGTATCTATTAAAAAAAAAAAACAAGTTTTGAAGAAAACAGTATTTTTTTTAATCAAAATACTTTACTTACCTGATGTTATCATCTTCCTTTGCAGCCTTTCTCTGTGGATATTTTCATCATATGTGTAGGAGAAAATCATAAGTGTTTGCTCTTGTAAAGTTTTTTTTCCCCTTTACTTTCCCCTTACTTAACATTAATACTTCAGCAACAAGCTTTTTATTGTGAACTTCAGAGAGAGCGTTCATACTTCTTTGCATAAAAAGTTTGAAGGTTCATTCTCTTTAAAAAAAAAATACTAATTATGTGTAAGTGATTACTAATTCTGCATTATGTTGCATGTATTAAATATGCAACAAACTATCTGAAAACTTCAGTGTAGATTTAGAGCTTTATTTCCGATTTTATTTTGAATAGGAGAATTAATTTAAAATTCACATGAAGCTTTAGTCTCAATCTGAATGTTTAGTAGAAACTAAAACGCCAAGGAGATGTATTTGATCGTAATTTACTGCTAGGAAGTCATTAGACTAAAAGTAGTGTAGTTGAAAGACACTAGTGATATGGTGATCATTGCTGTTACTCTATTATACGTTCATTATGTTGATGTTGAACTTCCATAGACAAATGTACTATATGCTTTGCTGCAAAAAATACAATATCAGTTTTTCCATGTTTTAGATTAAATAAAATTATGAATCAGGTGGCCATTCAACGGAAGAAGCAGTTTGTTGAACGAGTGCACAGTTACTGGTTGCTTAAAAGGCTGTCTAGGAATGGTGTTCCTCTGTTGAGAAGGCTGCAGTCCAGTTTACAGTCACAAAGAAACACACAACAGGTATGTGACATACTTTTTGCTTACAAGAAGAAATCAAAAAGTCTCTATTTTAAGGAATAAATACTAACCAGGAAACATAGCATTGAGTGAAAACTTTTCCATATTTTTAAAGTAATGTGTTCTACACTTAAAATTAGACATTATCTAACTCTTACAACTTCTTTTTATTTTCTTGTGAGATGTGCAAAATATTTGTGTAAAATTATCTTTTGTTTTGCTTAAATTTTTCACAAAATTACAGTCACCAAAACTCTCCTAATACTACTGTTTATTGATCACTGTTATGGTTTTTGGAACTCATTCCTCAAAATGCCATGAATCTTAGTAAGATAAAAATAAATATTACTTTAAATTCATTGCAAGATGCAAAGTAAATTTAGACTTTGCAACATAGAACTAAGAAAAATGGGAACGTTTTACGGAGTAAAGATTAGAAGTATTAGTTTAGTTTAGAGTGTTTGATGTTTGGATCCTTTTTGCCCACGTTTTTTGGTAATAACAGAACAAAGAACGAATCATGGTTGAAGGTCAAAGACCTGTTGATTCCACTTTCAGTTTCACTTTTGACATAGTTAAGTGGGATTATAGACAAGCACAAATTTATCCTGATTATTTTGCAAGGGTAAAATGCACCCTATCTAAAATGCATCTACGTTGATTAAACTTACACTCATTTAGCAGTCAGAATTCCTGAAAATCAGAAAGAAAAACAGTCACTCCAAATTTGTATCAGATTCAGAAGGCAGTGCTTTTATTTCCCATTTTTTTAATACGATCAACTCTTTAGGGACGTTAGAGAGAGTGGTAGGTCTTAACGTCTCGTTTCAAGTCACTAGATGACTCTGAAAATAGTTAAAACCTCTGATTTGAATTCTGTAGATAGACCTGTGTATGCAGTCCCTGAAATGCAGTGAAAGAGCATAATGTAGATATTCTTATTGCATACCTGTTAGTCTCTTTAAATTTAACTGAGAATGAATTGGCTGTGTTCTTTGTCAGTGTCCGGATGTTTATGACTTCCAGGGGAACTGTTCATGTAAAATAGCTTCTAGGACTTAAGAATGCGTTTTATAACTTTGAAAAATTTGTATATGATTATCGTTTACTTGTGTTAAATTGAGATTTTTTTTTTCCTTTAAAGCTTAACTAGAGCTTAACTAGAGGTTAACTCTTATTTATGTTGGAATTGTATTGTGTTGTTATTTGCTGGTAAATCATTAATTGGTACAGTCATAAAGGCATCATGGTCAACGTTGCTTCCTAATTCTCTTTGATCTTTCCTTTTTCTTCTGTATTTCTTTTCTTAGCTTTTAAAGGAAAAAACCTAATTGCTAATTCATTGATACTAATATTACTTCAGTAACTGATTTTTATCTTTTTAGGTGGAATTAACTTTATAAATTGGCTAATTGTTTATCTTTCTTTCCTTGCTTCTATGTTATCTCAATTTTTATGCTACTTTTTGGGGGGGTTGTAACTTCCCTAAATATTCTATTATAAAATTTTGATTTCAGAATATGATTTGATACCTATTAGATAACTGCTTATCAGACATCATTATGAATTTCTATGTTAATGTCAATGGTTACAGCACTAAATTTCTATAGAAAATTGTAAAGGTGACATGCTGCTTGTTCAGATTGGCTCAGAAGTTGCGAGTTGCTCATGTAAACTCTAAAACGGAGTTTAAGTCCTAAAAAATACTAAAATCAAGCATAGAAAATCCAGGGCACATGTGGAAGCACAAACCTAGCTAGACTATAATTACAGTTCCTGAAAACATTATATTTACTGGTTGATGTTTGAGAAGTACTTCTGCTGTTAAGGTGTCATGTTTTGGTGAATCAGAAGCACAGAATTACCAAAGAATAAATGAATAACTGCCAAAATAAGATGATTATTATAATTGATGTTTGATTGTAGCCAAAACAAGCCTTAAACTGCAGCTGTTTCCAATGCCTTCGTTTTTTTGTGTTTCTGTCCAAACATGTGATTTCTGTCTTTTCTTTCTAAATTTTAGAACAATGCACTATTCTCAAGTGAAGAAAATAATTAAAAGATTATATTACTTAATTTGAAATGAAATATTTATACTGCTTGATTAAAAACTAGGGTACTTATTTGACAAGTTCAATTGATCTGAACTTCATCTTTTGAAAAGAAAATGTAAGTTTCGAGGAAAGTTGAATAATAAATGGTCCTGTTGATGAAAAGCGTGTAAGCATCCTCTGTGTGACATTGTACATCTTTCCATAGTATCTTCAATTAGTCTTATGAACAGCTATTGAAATAGTTGTAACTGCAAAGTATTTGATGCATTAGTCATCTTTGTTATTCCAAGTGTAAGCCAAACCGTAAGGGAGGTCTTAATAGTCAGCTATGGTATAGCTGTTACAAGGAACTACTCAAAATTGTGCAACGTAGATTACCTGCTCCAATCAGATGGGGAAAGCAAGCATAATTGTTTTGGTAATTTCAATCTAGAGGGAAGATTCTTTGTGTCTTTTTTTTTTTTTTATGGGAGAAGTCAAAGTGTTAAAGAACCACAGAATAGTTTTTATTTTTTTTTTCATTTAAACTGAAATGAAATACTAAAATCAAGTATTCTAAACGAAAACTCTGAAATTGATTTCAAAACACCTAGTAGAAGGTATTTTGATCCCTTTCTAATAACATTTGATTTATTAGAATGAGTTTGGCAGGGGGAAAAACTTTCCATGATACAGAGCAACTGCCTAATCAGTGTTCTTCAGAGCTAAATTATGATACGCTTTTCAAGGTGCTATTTTATAAACTTCTAACAGTTCTAAACAGAACCGAAAGTTCTTGGCTTGTATACTACTTGATATTTTGAAGGAAGAGGAACACTCTGAAAGAATGGTTAATGTTTGTCTTTGTCCTATCACTTCTCTCTCACCATCTGGAAGTTCAGGGGAGATTGCAACTATCCTAAACAAGCTTTTGTCCTCATTATTTTATTTTATTTTTGTTTCTGTGCTTAAAGAATGTCCGGAGAAAGATGAGGAATGAAACTGAAGTGCCATAGCTGTTCCTGCTGCAGTGAGATTGTTTTAAAACTGCTATTTGGAAAAAACAAAGTAGAAACTGCTTGTAACTAAGGTCATACTGCACTGAAGATTTCAGCAAGAACATTTCATTAGTTGCAGTCATAAAATGGTGTTGGCTGACTGTCATTCAAGTGTCAGGAGAGAATCTTAAAATAGAATTATAGTGATAAAATTGGATCTTGATCAATACAAATAATTTTCCTTGGCTTATGTTAAGTTAGAGTCCCTGTAAAGAGTGAGGCTGTCCCCACGTATTTGCATCCAGCACAAGGAATGATTTGTTGATACAGGGTCACAGTACTCCTACCTCTATACATAGAGTGGTAACATATTCTTCATGGTGACAATTAGAGCTGAAGGCTAGTTCTCAATTCATGTATGTTCTATACGTTATATGTACTGTATATGTCTATATGGTGTATAGACTTAAGTATTTTCTTCTTCCCTCTGTATTGGTAAATCTGGCAATGTAAGCTTTTCCAGATAATGTAATATTTGATGTTCGGTAAGAAGAAAGTATATCAGACAATGTCGTAAAACTTTTAATTTTTTCTTGTTTTGTCGGCTGCAAGAAACTTTCTGGATTTGTTATAGAAAGAAAGAAATTTGGAAAATAATTTCTGTGGAGGTTAATAGAACCGAGAACCTTTGCTTGACAAAAGGCTTTATGGAACTAAAAATGTTGGAAATAACTCATTTTACCCTTGTTTTCATTAGATAGATATGAGAAGCCCGTGCATCATGGCTCTTTCCAGCTTGTCTGGAACTTTTAATCTTATTAAAGATATGTTTTATGTCAGGCAGTAGGTTAGCGTAAAGGGAATTAATCGCAGCCAGTATAGCCATGTCTGCCGACCCCACTTTACGTAGGCGTAGCACAAATTTGGAGGCTCTTTGTTAGTCTGCAAGCAGAAGTAGCACTCAAGGGGATGCGCGCAACAAAAAAGCAAAGGAGAAGATGCTCTTGATACTTTGGGTCACTTCTGCAGGTATAAACCAACGTGGCTACCTTATGGGATGAAATCGTGTGTTTGTCCAGTGGGTGTTTCTGTACCAGATGAAACAACTGAACCAAATAGAAGAATAATCCCTCTAACAAAAAATTAATATCAAGTTATGTTAAAAAAAAAAAAAAAACACACACAACTGCATCTTCAGATGTAGCCAAATACTTAGATCTCAAATAAAGTTCCCTAAAACCTGGTATAAGAAAATAACATCTTCCTAGCTGTATTTAAGTTCCTTGTTCTGCCTTAAAACTGGTTTGTTTTTGTTGGCTGAGCTTTCAGCAGGCTCAGTTCTTATGCAATTGCACAGGGCAAAAGAGCAGACAATATTGAGTGGCTGCAAGTGAAGAGAGGACAAGACCTCCACTTTGAGCAGCAGTCAAAACTTATGTTTTATCCTGAAAAAACAGTAAAACTGTGGAAAAAAAATATATAGCAGTTAACAGATTACTTTTCCACACATGGGATCTGTACTCTAAGGTGATGAGGTGTGCGCGAGGACAGGCATTAGTGGCAGTGTAGATTTTCTAGTTCAGTGAGTCCCTGAGAATTCTAAGGAATAATTATTCTAAGGAATAATTCTATATTAATACTTGTTCTCCTGTCAAATTTAACTCTGAAATATCACCCTCATCAGTTAAATTATTACATAAGTGCCTAAATCTAGACTTAAAAGAAATGGGAAAAAAAACTGTCAATAGCAGTAGTAATTACAAAAAGGAACTAGAATTTTATGCCTCCCGTTTTTCAGTCTTTTTTTTTTTTTTTTTTTTTTTTTGAAAAGAGGAACAAATCCTTGTTTCCAGATGGCTATATTTTATACTGGACTAGACAATATTTTATACTGGTTAGATAAGTATTTTCAACTGTAGTGCAGTCAGAGATTTGAAGAAAACAAACTTCATAGCTTCCATAGGTACTTGAGTTTACAGTTCCAAAGTATGTAAAGCAATAAAATATTGTATGGATCTGTCAGCACTTGGAAATCCACATGGAATTTTTAAACTGCCAGTTCTTGCAACTTTGTTTTCAGAACTTTCTGTCTGAAAAATTTGCACAAGCTTCCTTTAGAGGATCTATAATATTTCTGTATTACCTTCAGTTAGGAAATTTTTTGCCTGTGTGTAACAGTCTGTAGTGTGATCGTTTTCATTGATCCCCTGCTTACCAGGCAATTTTGTTTATTCATTTGCCATCTAATTTTTATAACTTAGGGAATTTGGATTTGTTGATTTAAAAGAAAAAAAAAAAGTTGCTTATCAAGTTGATATTGTTTTATGCTAGTCCCTGGCAAGTAGATGAAGCTTTTGATCTTTCTGAGATTCTTTTATTAAATATTCTCTTTAAATGTAATAATTCTGTAAAGTAGATGTTTCTTTTGTGTACTTAGGACTAGTTTCAGGACTTCTACTTTTTAACCTCTCTGTTTCTGGTGAATTACTCATCCCTTTTTAATACTATATGGAGTATTTAGATACTCTTCCTTTTCTTAGGTATGTGAAAAATCGTAAAAATTACAACAGGGAAAGGGTTTGTTCACTGTATGTACAAATCAAGCTAAATACTGCAGGTACTTAAACACTGCCTTTTCCAAGAAATGTGTAAATCAGATTCTTTTGTTCATTCACTAAAAGGTTTTATTACTGTATTGTCCATTTGCCTATACCATTTGAAGTTATTTGCTTCAGTTTGGAGGTTGTAACTGGCTGTATTTACAGTTTTGAGGATGTCTTAACTTTTTCAGAAACTACTTATTTTATTTTCCCTTCTCCTCTCCCTTTGGTCGAGAATTGCTTTTATTTCCTGTCCTCGGAAGTCATAGTGATCTTGTTACTCTATCAGGCGTGCGTCCTAATTCTGCCTGAGGGGGATTGTGTTGAGCACAAGAACTTACTTCTACCAGGTTTGAGTGGGATGTTTCTGAAGAAGGTAATGGATGCTCCTGCTGGTTTGGATTTTGATGTGAAAAGATTGGATCTTGTTTTGCAGCTTGTTATACTGCTAGATTGCTATTTGCTATATTGTTTTTCTCTGATGTAAATTGTCTTCATCATAGGATTGTTTTCTGGTTTTGCAGATGTTGGTTTCAACTAGATAATTTAGAAGTTAAAGAAGATATCCTGACCAGAAGGTTTTGTTTTGTTTTGTTTTCAGTATGAAGGTCATGACTGAATGCTATGACTGTAAAACAAGAGTTTTTCCTTTTCACTGAATACATTGTATATTGAAAAAAAAAAAAAAGGTTAGCATGTTTCATTTTGTTAAAACCTTTTAATTCTTCTCTTAGAGAGAAGATGATGAAGAAATGCAAGCCTTAAAAGAAAAACTGAAGTACTGGCAAAGGCTGCGCCATGATCTTGAAAGAGCTCGTTTGCTAATTGAACTTATACGTAAGCGTGAAAAATTAAAACGAGAACAGGTAAATAGAGTATCTTTTAATTTGGTGAAACTTTACTGAAACAACAGGTAGTTAAAGTATTCTTGTGCACATTTTTTTCAGTAAGAAAACTACAATTTTTGTCTTTTAATCTTCCTTTAGGATTAAGGAACCCGTGCCCCCCCCCCCCCCCCAGTTTAAAAAAAATAGAATTATTTACACACATACACACACACACAGTTTAAAATACATAGAATTATTGAATAGGCCTTTCAGTTACACTTGCAAAGTTGATATATTTCTAAAGAACTATTAAAAAAAATTGATTCTGCCAGCACATGTGCCTATACTGAGTTGCTTTTTATAAAAAAAAAAAAAAAAAAAAGCTACATTTAAATCATGCAACTTTATGAAGTATTAATAGCTGGGAGAAGGAAAGTGAGGAAGCAATAATACAGAAGGATAACGTTGTATAAGAAAACTGTGAAAGCAACAAGTTTGCCCTTCTGAGTCCTTAGCCATCCTTTGTTATACAAACAGCTTTCCATTTCTCTGTTTTGTAAGCTGCACCATTCATTGCAAGATAATCTAATTAGAAATTCTTAAGTTCTTTTTGGAGCCCATGCATTGTTTATGTATATTCATGTATCACTTGCTGTCTGTAAGATACCTGATTGTGTGCCTGTATATGTATGTATACTTTGTGTTTTTATTATGTAAGTACACACATATGCACACACACACTGACAAACACACCATTAATGTATCATTGCCATAACAAACCGGTTTCAGTGTTGTGATTTTTTTAAATGTCCTGAAAATAAAGCTATAAAGGAGTCTTAAAATTGTCAAAAAAAATGGAAATTCTAAAGGGAAACCAAATATTTGAAGAAGTTGTAGATTTTGGTCTTTTATATTATTTATTATTATTTTATTTTAAACTACTACTATGACTTAATTTTAAGCATGTTACCTTTTAATTTTTGCTCTTATTTTTGCAATTGGCTGTGTTATGCAAAGCTGTTCTGGTGTAATATCTTTTATTTGAAAATAATTCCAATTAAAAAATAGAACAAAATTCAATTCTTATAGGTAAAATATGAATCTGAGTTCTGAAAAATTGTGAAGTTGAGTTTGCAGCAAAGGGATGAGAGTGATTATGTAGACATCAGCTGAAAATATATGTCAGACCAATGCCAACTAATGATATTGAAAGTAACCTAAGATCTAGAAGTGTTATTTTTGAAATTGAAACTTCATTTTCTTTGATATTCCAACTAAAGAACTCAATGACTTAAAATATTTGTATCAAGTTCATACTGAAGTACATTACTCTTGCTGCAAAACAACTCAAAACACTATCTTAATGGAAAATACTTAACTGGGTAATTATTTCTTGTTTAGGTCAAGATTGAGCAGGTTGCTATGGAACTTCAGCTTACTCCATTCACTGTACTTCTGCGGTCAGTTCTGGATCAGCTGCAGGAAAAGGATCCTGCTCGTATATTTGCTCAGCCAGTGAACCTTAAAGAGGTATGTCTTAAAGTTAATGTTTCCAAAGTGCTTGCTTGTGTTTGGGTACAATTTTGTTGCATTTAATAACAAGGAACAAATAATTGCACTGCAAAATAGGGAGTAGTAGATCTTTTAGATCTACTACTAAATAGTAGATCTTTTTTATCTCTATTATGGTAACTTACATAATGACTTACTGCTATAAGTTTATGTCTGTTTATCCCAAATAATGTCTTTTGGGAAGCATTTGCATGGTATAACATGAGAACATACTAATCTTACTTTTTAAGCTTTGTATAAAGTGGTTATTTTAAACACGTTTCAGGCTAAATGAGTTTTTTAGAGTTGTTTTGGGATTTTTGTTTTTGCTTTACTTCTCTGACATATTATTGTTTGATAAAGTAAGTTTGAAGGGTGTCTTAATAAAAAATTAAAATGTAGATACTATGTTTTATTTGAAGATAAATTTCCATTTCTTTAAGTGGGATACTAGATCGCCTTAGGCTGTACATACGTGTGTGTGCATATGTATGTAGGTGTGTACATATGTGTATCCGTGTGTGTGTGTGTGCATGTGCATGCACACACGCACACACAGGTATTCTTCCAGAATTCTAAAAATGAATAGCTTGGGCATCTGTTATTATGGCGTAGGTTTATTATCTAGGATACAGAGTCTTGTAATATGTAAACTTCTGTGTGTGTAAACGTTTGCAAGATCAAAATGTGCATTTCTAAACTAGTTTCCCAGTTCTTGATTTGAGATGTTACCAAATAATGGGGAGAAAAAAACCTGGCTTGGTTAATAGCTAATGTTAATTTGTCTGTAATAAAATAATTTGATTGTACTTTAACCCTTTTTTCTTTTAAATATTTATTCAAAGGTTCCAGATTATTTGGATCATATTAAACATCCTATGGATTTCTCTACCATGAGGAAACGGTTAGATGCTCAAGGCTATAAAAACCTCATTGAGTTTGAAGAAGACTTCAATCTTATCATAGATAATTGTATGAAATATAATGCAAAAGATACAATATTCTATAGAGCTGCAGTGCGGTTAAGAGATCAAGGAGGTGTTGTTCTCAGGCAAGCTAGGCGAGATGCTGAAGGGATCGGTTTTAATAATGAAACTGGAATGCACTTACCTGAACGGCCTAAACTCGAGTCACCCCAGCCTTTCTCATGGGAAGATGGTAAGAAGTTTTTGTTTTTTAAGTTGTGTTTTTTATTAAATACAGTCTTTGCATACCATACACATGTTTAAAATTGTACCTGTTGGATTTTCTGATGAGAAATGTTTTTTTTCTACTACACACTTCTTTTTTTGAAGGTTCAATTAATTCTCTTCTATTGCTTCTTTCATTAGAAAACGGTTTTCTAGATTCTAATGTAACAAGCTTGGAGCCTAATTTAAATATATATATATATATATGAAAATAGATTTTAAATTTTGAGTGTTTTCTTTCACATAATCATATATGCTCATAAGTCATAGAACATGACAGTGTACATAAATATAAACACATTCTTAAACTACCTATTGAATCAGGAATTTAATGTTTAATAATAACTTTTTTCTTCAATAAAAAAATTAAGCAAATTTGTAATATTGGGAAATCAGAAGTCATCTTTTGACTTAAAAACTCAGAAAGCTGAGACAAGTGGCAGTGAAGGAGAAATAACGTGCTTTGTTTAGAACCATAATCTCATCCTGCTCTTTGAAAAGAAGCAAATTACATTTTAAGATGTCTTCCTTCAGGCCTAAAAATTCTTTGCCCTTCTACTTAGTTTTCTTAAACAAAATCTTGATCAAGAAGAATTCTAGTAATATTGCACAGTAGGAGTTTGTTGCAACAGTTCTTCACTGGTGACAGTGAAGCTACTAAAACTGTAATTGAAGTAGGTTTTTTTGACTTTTTTAATTACAGCACCTTTTTTTTCCCCCCATTCCTGTTGGTATTATTGTTAATATTCTGATAAACACTAACACATTTTCAATTATGCATATTTTGACTGCAGTGGATAGGTTACTGAATCCTGCAAACAGAGTGCATATGTCCTTGGAAGAACAGCTGAGAGAGTTGCTAGAAAAGCTTGATCTCACCTGTGCAATGAAATCGAGTGGGTCAAGGAGCAAAAGAGCAAAGCTGTTAAAGAAAGAAATCAGCATTATTCGCAACAAGCTAAGTCAGCAACACAATCAAGCTCCTCAAATAGAGTCAGGTATTGGAAGTTTTGAAGAAGAAACTGCAGCATTAGAACAAGAAGGAGAAGAAGAAGGTAAGATTTTAAACTATATTTAAGTCAGTCCTACCGTGGACCTCTTCAGTCAGGTGCTCTAATATTGTGAATTAAATAGTATAATAAATGAATGTTATTGTTTATTTTTAAATGGACAAATAGTGCTTATTTACAGTTACTATTTTAGGACTATCAAAGTGATACTTTTGACCAATATCCTCTCCCTTATATTTCACAGTAGCAAGGGTTTTAAAAAGTTTTGAGTGTTAAGAAATTAAACTACAAACAACGTAAGAATGGAAAAGGATTTCAAAATGTCTCATTCCATCTTGGTATTTTTGGAAACCCAGTTACATGTCAAAATGTATGTAGGAACCGTGTGAGTTTAAGTCATTGGTGCTGAAAAGTAGGCATTATACTGTCTTTTGTAGCTTTTCTGTCCTTTAACGCAGACTGGTTTGGAAGAATGGAGGGTTACTCTGTTTTTATTAAAGGAAGCAAAGCTAACTAGAGGTAGGACTCACCAAACTTGATGTTTTATAATCAAGGCTGCCATGTCTAACTACCCTTCCCCTTGTGCCTCTCTTCCTCCTCAAAATAGCGATCTCAGATCCATACCTGTTCCTGTGCATTTCCCGCTGATTTTAGCGAGAGCAACATACAAGGCCTGACTTCAAGTTACAGTTTAATGTTGTGTTTGTTTTTTTGCTTTGAAATCACTTACTGATATCTTTATTACTCCCTCTTAAATAACTCAAACAAAAATCCAGCCTCTTGGACGGGAAAAGAAAAAGAGTGTAATTGACAGTTTGTCCCATGATCAGCGTTGCGTTCTCTTCTCTAAAAAGTTATTACCTGTTTTTCTTGAGGAGAGGCAGAGGCATGTCTCATCTAATAGTATTGGATGTGGGAGGAAAAGATGGAAGGGAAAGTGTAAGCGTGATAAAAATAGTAGTCTATGTTGAGCAGCTTGATGCTATCAAAATTCTTGAAAGCCGAACTGAATAAAATGACTGTCCTTAACTGCAGTTCATACAGCAGCTTGATGTTTAATTCTTAGTGCAGTTAAAAGAACGGTTTTCAAAAGTATAAATTCCCTGAGATTTGAATGACAATGGTAGAAAAACTGTACCAGAATCAGCATCTAACCTATCCATCTAATTTTGAGGTGCTAATTATTCTTTAAAATGTTTAATGATAGTTGGGGTTTGTGTGTGTACATGTGCATGTGTGGGGATTTTTTTTTTTTCTTTCTTCCCCCTTCTAGTAATGGTGCCATTGAACCATTATAGTTATTCGAATGAATATTGTTATTTAGGAATGTACTTTCTGGCAGGTAATAAAAACACTATTTTTTGTTACTTCTAGCTTGACATTTTTATGATAGCCTTTTATTGTTGGCAGCAGCTGTACAAATAGCAGTCTAAAAGTGTAGGTACGATCTCTGACCAGTAACTATTTTCTTTGGTCTGAAATACTTCCTTTTAAAAAACTTAATGAAAAGCATTATCCAGAGCTAATTGGCACTGTAAGTTATAATTCTGATCTAGTCAAGAATAGTAAGCATTAGTTCAAATTTAGATTCTGAAATGGAGGAGGAAAGAAGCAAGCTGCCAAAAAGAGAGATATAGAAAGTAATCAGTAGAATCCTGACAAGGTAGACAAGGGAATCTTTACATGAGCTGACTTTGGAATTGCTATGAATTACCCTTTACGTTTTGAACTTCTGAACATGTGATAAATCATGTCCTAAACTCCTGTGGCGTATGGTACCAAAATAACTCAGTGAAATTAGTCTTGTAGTGTCTAAATAGTTTACAAGTGTTTTTCTGTGCTTAGATCTTTATGGGAATCTTTTCAAATTAGTTGTAAGAAAATGAGAATTTGTTCAAAAAGCACAGGGCATTCTTAATGGTTTCTCTTTTTCTAAGGGATGGTGCTTTAAATTTGTGTTTATCTGCCTGTGGATCTCATTCTTAAGGTGGTCTTGAAATACTGTTTATCAATTCTAATTCTTGCATGCCTTCAAAGGATGTGAACATAGTCGCACTTTATTTTAACGATTTTTGTTATTAATATGAATTATGCCTTATACAGATGGAGCAGTCTCTTTGATGTGCACAAGTCATTGATTTCAAAATAGGCATTGTGGAGCCAAAATCAAAACAATACATAGATAATAGATAATCCATTGCAGATACAGGGTTTAAGCCCTTGGTGTTTCACATCTTTTTTTCAGGTGACATAGAAAATTATCGAAACAAACATTTTGTTTGACAGCATGAATGTTTCTGTTGGATACATTGTTCTCATACAGCTGCTCTAGAAAAAAACCCACCTTTCTCCTTATTAATTCATACCTTAAAAGATTCTTCCTATCAAAGCTAGAAAGTTTTAGTATCTTTGTATGTGTTTGTTATTTTGGGGTTAGGAAGTTATTTTACTGGTATTTGGGAATGCTCTGAGAGTAGAATGTTACTTTTCTTTTGTTTTTTTTCTGATCACTTGGGATGAAAAGCTAAAACTAGTTCTGTACACTCACAGTAAAATCGGCATTGCCTTTTCCCAGCATGGAACTATTGAAATTAACTGGGAAATGATTGTGTAAAAGAAGGGGAAGGAAGAAAAAATTGGTAGAGGGTGGTTTTTCTGACTTCTCCTGTCAAGTCTGCAAAAGTGTATTTGCCGTGTAGTGGCTAAAAAAGCAGCAAGACTTTTTTTTTTTTTGATTAAAAAAAAAAAATACTATCCACAGTTGTAAGGCAGCTTTGCATAACTTGCATATCTGCAAAGTTTATAACACTCGCTAGCTCAGACTAATAGATCAGGTTAGAAACACCATTTTCTTTAAAATGCTTACCTGATAAAATTTACCTTAGGCAGATAAGGTGAATATACAAAATTGCAAAGTGTAATTTATCAAACATTTTACTTCAATGGTGGTGTAATCGTGCTTAAGAGAGAAATTGTACACCACCCCAATTTTCTGTTTAAAAAAAAAAAAAGTAAATTTCTTAGATTTTTAGTTATGAAATTAACATTACTGCATGAGAAGTAAAAAGTTTTTATCCAGATGTAAATTGTTAACACACCAAATATAAACACCTACTTTTCTATCCGTGTTACGTTCCCAGTATAAAAGTAGGAATTACTAACTAGGACAGATTGTTACTAGACAAGGTTTGTTTTTAAAATGTTATGCTTTGTTTCCAAACAACAATTTATTTGGTGGGCTGCACATTTGTAGTGAGTTTTATAATAGACTTTATAACTACGAGTTTTCAAAAATCACACTCTATTTATAATTTTTTCAGGAGATAAATCTCCCCCTAAACTTGAACCATCAGATGCATTACCTCTTCCTTCAAACTTGGAGACTAATTCAGAACCACCAACCCTCAAACCAGTAGAACTCAATCCAGAGCAGAGTAAGCTTTACAAAAGAGTAAAATTTGATAATGAATTATATAGCACTTCCATTCAGAAAGAAATAAATGGACACACTCCAGAACACTTACTTGACAGTAATCTCAATGAGTCGACTGTTTCTGCTGTAGCTGAGTCATCAACTGATGTAAACAGACGTACATCCATTCTCTTCTGCAAATCGAAAAGTATAAGCCCCCAAAAGTCTGCAAAGAACACTGAAACCCAGCCAACTTCTCCACAGCTAGGGACCAAAACCTTTTTGTCTGTAGTCCTTCCAAGGTTGGAGACACTTCTGCACCCAAGGAAAAGATCAAGGAGTGCATGTGGAGATTCTGAGGTTGATGATGAGTCCCCTGTAAAGCGCTTGGATACAGGTAAATGTTATACAATTTATTTCAATGGATAGATCTTGAAAGATAGCATACCTGTTAATTTTTTTTGCATACAATGTAATTGTTAATCTTCAGATTTTAGCAATTTTTCCTTATAGTTGAATAAGTACATATAGTTATTTGATTACTGTAGGAAAATTACTGATTCATTGTTATGCTGGCCCTCACAGTTGGACTTAGGGTGAACCAGGTTTTATCTTTTCACAGTTTTCATTTTGGTAACCAGAACCTCAAGTTACCTGTGTGTGTGGTATTTGCTTTTTTTTTTTTTTTTCTTCTTTTTTTTTAGTTCTTTTCTGTTTCCTTGTGTTGCATCCAAAGAAAAGGTGAATGAGCTGAATTACAAAGAAACTTCGTGTATGGTGCCAAAATTAGAATTCTCTTGAACATGGAAAAATACATTTTCTGGATACAACTTTATTTCGCTGTAATGTTACTCCAAGCATATTTCTAGGTTGTAAAACTGACGACTGTATGTCAGATGCTATCTATACTTACACGTTATGTGAAAGTGTTTAAATCCCAAAGTAAAATGACATTTCCTCCATTTCTTAAGTCTGTGCGCTTTACCTATTAAAAGTTGAAGAATCTAAATGCAGAATTATGCTCTTAATGAGACTTCGCTAAGCAATTTAAAAGAAAGCTAATTTAGATGGTGCAGTACAGTTGAGGAATTAATTACACCTTTTCTTCATGAACCAAAGTTCTGTTTGGAGAAGTTTGGATAAAGAAGAACAGCAACATCAGGAAATTACTAAAGTGCATTTCCTTGATATTTTTTATGGCCATTGCTACAATTTCTATTACCTTTTAAAGTAAACATTCTGTTTCCTAGTTGTGTTGGTAACGCGTACACAGGCATGAACACGGCATGCAATTTCTATGCCTTTGAATGAAACCCTTAAGAATTTAATTAAAAAATCATTTGTTGTCAAGTTGTGCTCTAAAAGCTGGGAGGTGAGCTTTTTTTGGTTTTTAGGGGGAGGGGTATCTTTTTTTCCTCCCTCCCCTCTCCCCCACCTTTTTTGGTTTCCTTTTGAAGAAAGTCTGGAAAGAGCCCGTCTATCTGATCTGATAAATTAGGAAGGCACATGTGTACATGCTCTTATAGCAGGAATAGGGATGAAGATTTTTTACTGTGGGAAAACTGACTTAATTCGTAATAAATGAATCAATAAATCAGACTTCTGAATTACATTTCAGATCTGTCATTTCATTCTTTTTCTCTTTGTGGTATACATGCATGTGGCAGAAATATGTTTTGATTATCCCTTTAAAAAAAAAAAAAAAGCAAAAGTTATGTATATTCTCTCCTAGTTTTAGTACACTTCCCATTTCAAAATTTCTAAGTTTGTGATATTTAAGTCAGTGATGGGAATAAAATCCCCAAAGTTAGAAGCCATGATTTTTTGTTATTAAAATTATGTAGCCTCTTCTTGAAACTAATGAAAATTAGGCATAGAAATAAAATTTACATTGACCTAATACCTAGGAGGCATTTATGTTTTGTAACATTTTCTTTCATTTTAAGAAGAGACTATATCTGCTAATTGAGCTTTTACCAAAACTGAATTTATCCAGAGGTTTGAGTAGCATCTGTTTATTCTCTCTCTCTCTTTTTTTCTCTCTCTCTTTTTCCCTTTTATAAGAATATACGGATATATGTGCTTATTAAATCTTATTTGTATGTTTCTTTTTCCATTTACGATCAAAAATTTTGCTTTCATGCTGGAGAGTTTCTTTGTATGTTATTTTTGAACTAGTGGCCTCATACAAATTTGAGTGAGCAATTTATTATTGGTGGTTATTTTGAGCTGTGGTTCGGCAGGAAGTAGTTCTGTTTGCACAAACCCCAAATGCTTTCCAAGATGTAAACCCTGTTGAATTATTTCATTTTTGTATATGCAAACTGTGGTAAATTGATGCAGATATTTGTGCTCTGTTTAAAAATTAAAGATGAGATCTATACAGTAATGTAATTTTAATTTTTTTTTTCTTTTTCCTTCTATTTGGATGTTGTTCATGAAATTGTAATTTCATGCTATTGGTAAAATGCTGCTGTTTAAAAGAGTTCAGCAGATCATGAGCCTTTCCCTTGAAAGACATATAGTCATATGTGAGGCATGCTTCAGGCTCCTTGCATTCTTTCCTGTGAGTTAGCTACTTCAGCTGCAATCATTGTAAATGACAAGGATTGGCTGTTACAGGATTTTCTTTGACTGACGTGAATGTTAAATATAATCAATTCTAGTGGATACAGGGAAAAAGTCATAAAAAGGGACTTTGCTTAGTATACAAGGCATTGAAATTTTAGACTCCAGAAAGAATTTGAAGTGGTTGAGGGCTGTGCTTAGACTGCTCTTTGCTTAGTATCAGTGCTCATGCACTGCTTTAGAGTCTGTGCGCTGTCAGGTCTTTCTACCTTTAGCTATCCATAACCAGTGTTTTATTTTTGCCTTTATGTAAGGACAAAATGTCACGATCCTCTATGTTATTCATCTATGGCAGTTAACACTAATTCATTTTTCTTTGTGGTGCTGATGGTAATCAGAGAATAAATTATCTGTGTTTTTTCTGAAGGTATTAAAAAAAAAAAAAAACCCTAGGGAATTTAGAGATCTGCATTATGTTTATGAATTAAGGGCACACTTGCCTTGGTGTTGGGGTGAGTATAGGTGATGCGACTTCTAATTCATAACTTCCCTATACTAAAGTCCCTCATATCAGGTACAGAAAGTACCAGAGCTGATCATATTGCCATCTTATTTTTGACCTGTTTAGAACATATTTGCTTAAAGATTTGATTTTTCAAGAGTTGGATGATCATAAACATGTGACTCGTAGTTAAGTCCCACAGTAACTTCAGGCACTGAACTGAGGAGGTAAAAATATAATTATCTTAGGTTTCCTTCCTCTAATGAGAGATGGAGACAGTTCCCACAGTATGATTGACTGTGAGATGAATGTCTGTCAGAATTAGTATTTTTTTTCTTTTCTAGGTGAGAACAGATTATGTAGTTACATGCATAGAGAGATATCCATAAGAGGGATTATGGTGCACAGGACTGTGTACTCTCACTGAATCATAGATGCTGTCTGAATCCTTCCTTCCATTGTTATAATATTCCAAATTTGGGAATATTCCTTAAGTCAGTGAGTGAAGTGTTTCTTTTCATTCTTTTCCTGTACAATGTTTTATATTCATCTGAAGTAAAAAAGAGGGCGTACGAATCATAAACCCGTAAATGTTACATTTTTCTCAGAAACAGTTTTATTACAGCAATTTGAAAGAGCAGTTCTCATGTCGGGTTTGCAAAGATCTGTGTTACCATGTCAGTAATGACTAGCACTCTTTTATTTATTTATTTAATATATGCATTTAGAAAGGACGTACAGCTGTTCTAAATTACTTTTTAAACATCTTTCCCTTTTTACTCTAGTAGACTTAAACTAGATAGAGTTGATATTTTTCAGAGGGCAGCATCGGAAACAGGAAAAATCGAAGTAGAGCAAAGCTAATCTAACATTTGTATTGGTCTATTATTGTCCAAGGTTACTGACCCTAGGAGAAGGACTCTCAAATATTTTTGTCAGTGGAGAATTCTAAGCTATAGAGTTAAGAGCTGACAGCCCAATATAATTCCTGTTAATTCTCTCTTCTGGTAGTGCAAGCACAATATACTTTTTGCTTCAGTGTTGCTGTAAAATAGTATTTCTTTTTGTGTCTTACAGTATATTCAGATCACAGCTCTATTCAGTATACAAATGAGAGCCAGAATATAACTCTTAATATATATTACAGGCCAAAAATAAATATCTCTTCCTCCTATGTAGCTTTTGGATACGGATTGAAGTGTGTTGTTCTTTTAATAATCCTTTTACTTGAAAATGGATTCATGCCTTCCACCTCCCCCCCGAAAAAAATGAAATCCCAATTTATTTTTTACCTGGATCATTTTTTGTTTAAAGCACAGTTCCGCAAGTAGCTGTATTCGTATAAATGGTGGGGACAAACCCTGGCCTAACTTAGGCAGGCTGCAGTTACGTTTGAAAGCTAAATGTGTAAACAATACTAAAGACAGAAAACCTTTGTCACCTGGCTATTTATTGTAACAGAAGCCTGGCTTATCTTCCTTTTTTGTTCACCAAATAAAAATTCCTGTAGGTCACTTTTAACTCACGGATCTCCTACTATCGCTCTTCCAATTTTTCAGGTATCTTGTTATTAATGAGTAATAAAAGAATTTGCCCTGTAGAGGTATAAGGTTCATCACAATGTTGTATTGGGAATGTACCTTTTAGTCTTGAGCTGTTCAGTTTAGAGTGAATACTCCTGGCAGTACGCTTCTTGAGCTGCACAGCTCTTTAACTTTCTTTCTGTTGCATTCCAGAAAAACTTGCATATATCTTTTTTGCCATTACCTATTTCTTTGTGGTGTATGTTAACATGGTTACCTATTCTCATTGGGTGTTTTCTTTGCTTTTTGGGTGAGGGGAGATATTAACTTTTTTTCAAGTGACATACAAGATCTGTGTAAGATCTCTTTAAGCTGTGTTTAATTTAAAACAATTACTTCTTTGTTTTTATTAACTAACTAGCTAGTTTTTGCATCTCCCCTCACCACCCCCACCAAAAGGCCCTATGCAATTTAGGCTTCGAAATACTCTCAGAAGACGAAATACTATCTGCTCAAGTTTCTAGCGCTGTGTGTTGGAAAGCATAAGCAGTATTTTTACTGCTAGGAATGTATTAGTAAGTTTTACTCCTGGGAGTAAATGGGGTCTGAAATCTAGTTTCCAAAGGACATAATGTTTCAAAAAGCATTGCATCTGTAGCAAGGTGAACAACTTCTGACTGCTCCAGTAGTGTTGTACCTCCTTGTTTTGAAAGAAAACAGCAACAATTGCAGTCTTTCTGCATTGTCATTAGTAGCAAAATATTAATCCTCCGTTTGTGATATATTTTTAGCTTTTAGCTGTTG